AAAACAAAATTTAAAAAACTGCAAAAATAAAGTGATTTAAATTTTATCTCCAAGTTGCTGACTGTTAGCTTCACAATATAAGCCAGTTTAATATTCTTGAATTTAATGTCGGTCAAACTGAGAGATCTTAGCAAAGTTGAAGTAGCTCGTATTGCAGAATATGTTTTTTAATCATGGAGTTTCCAAAACGATTTTCATATAATTGTCGGTTCGGTTTAAAAGTGCATTTATCAAAAATTACGTAAGAAATTATCAATAATTCAACAAAATTACTGACAAATACGGGCCATTCGTTCCAGATATTCAAGTCCGGCTCAAGCTCTCAAATTATGATCTTCAAACCACTTTTTGGTCGTTTTAAATGCAATTTTTATTTCAGAAATAATGTTTCCTAGTAGAAATATGTTGGAATATATAAACTTCCAGCTAATGTGATTAGCTCTTTAAAAATTGTACGTGTTCAAAGAACCTGTTGGTTAATTTCTTATTAACTTCTTCGTTAAATTATGAAATATCAAGGTACAAACAGTGGTCTAATTAGCAATTAACTTGCAAAGCTCTGTTAGCGAACTTTTTAAAAATTATTTAAACACCATACTTTGCGTTCGGTGATCTAATTTTTGAACTGTGTATGTATGTAATAATAATTTTCCTTAAATAATTATATGTATACATTCTATTTCGCAGATGTTGTTGATTATTATTCCTACATTTGCGATGCATTGTCACATGTGCATGCAATATTGTTGCCACGATCATGCTTCAATACAGTAAACTAAATGAAATGAAGATACATGAGTATTGAGATTAAGGAAGCCAATTGATTTTATACTGAACAAAGCCGGATTGACATCCTTAGTCTTTGAAATAGAAGGTGGCAAAGTTAACATATTTTTAAATTTTTTTACAGCTAACAGTTATTATAATGATATTTCTATTTATCTGTAGTCTACTATTGAAAACTTAATAAAATAGTTGATTGTCCGAGATTTTTTAATTAAAAAAGGAGTTTATATCCAGTTCCAACCCTGCTAATCAAACAAGATTTTTATGTGCAGATCACAGTTTTGTCGCACTGACGATACCCTGAAGTTGCACTCTAAAGCCTGCACGAACTATATTGGAACATCTAATAACTTGAAATATTTGCCATTTTTTTGTACCGTTTATCAATGTTGATATGAATGTCAATGAATGAAAAAACATGCATTACAGATTAATTAATTAACTGATCTGAAAACGTAAAGTTCTCGTTTTTGGAAGCCTATATTTTATCAACTGTAAATGTTAGAAGAAAACGTGATATCTATCGACTCATTTTATCATTCTCTACAAGAACCTGCCTAGCTTCAGCGGCGATATGTACAAGAAGTACCTTGTATATTGACCAATAAACCGATCAAGCTGCAGGTTTATTGTGATAAGGTTTATGAATAGAGTGTTCGTGCATAGCAATAATAATTCTATATTTAGTCCTGAATATATTCGGAAAGCATAGATCCTCTAGTATCTATAAACGACTGAATAGCCTATAAAAAGTTACTCGCTTAAACGTGCTTAATACTATTAGTAGGATTACCTTTTGAGGATATAAACTATTATACTAGTCACGTTATGGCAAAAACTAAAAGCGTAAGTTCAGTATAAATATCAATTTTATGAAAAGCGGAACTAACTGTAAGCTAAAGCATGCATCGCTACGCGACGAGAAGAAGTCTGCTATTATTAAATTAAATGAATGATAATATTGTTATTTAAGTTATTTCCTTAAATAGATTCCAATGAGTATGATGAAATAAATAAAATATAATTGCAAAAATGTATTCCCAAGTAATGGTCATAAATTGTGTGTCGATATTGGACTTTACTTGTTAAACATTCTACTGATTTAACTTTGGCTCATCTGCATGTTCCTTTGCATTTCGCCATGCTTTTTTGAAAAATGAAACTATTAGAATTTTGTTGGAAACATAACATAGAAACACGTTAAAATGGAGATGTTTTGCAATCTGTTGCACTTGCAGCACTTGCAAAACTCTCAAATGATACCACGATTTTAATAAATGCATAGTGAAGCAATTGAACAATCAGAATAATGGAAACATAATTAGCCTCAAGCCATTTCGCAATCTAGCATGATTCTGCACTCTTTTAGCATTGATCTGCTTCTTTAAAAATGTAGGAGATATATTTTTAATCAATCTAATATAAATTACGACAGAATGAACATCTTTTATAAGAGTTATCATTTTATCAGTTCGATAAATTTAAATTAAAAAAATTTGTATTTGGCAGACGAAACTGAAATTGGTAGAGATAGGTAAAGAACATTAATCAAATCACGAACACAAAAAGCAACCAGCCTGCGGTACACGCTCTTACGTTAAAGGAACGCGCATAATGTACTGTTCCGGTAACAAATCCCTGCAACAAATCAAAGCCACAACATTCAAATATTGGCAAAAGACGTGATAAAACTGGTACGACAATTGCAATTTATATATCATCAATGTTAGCAATAAAGCTGCTGCTTTATGCGAGTAAACGCTGTTTATGTGGAAATATTAACTGTCATTTTCCGTCTAGAGTTCGCCTACATGAGGCTGTGCAAAAATTCTGATTTAGGTATCAAGTCCTAAAATTTCAGTCTAAAAACATTTAAATGATAAAAGGATATTTTTTTTTTATTAATAAGTTAGCGTCATATCAATATCAGTTAAAATAAATGTATTCACACATTTCTATGCATTATCTGGTTTGATGTTGCTTAGCTATGAACAGATACGTTACTGTTCTCCATCACGATAAAATACAAAACTACATGCGGACAGGAAATACTCAACCATGAAAGCTTTCATGGATCGCGTAAAGATCAGATAACATGCAACCGTTAAAGCTCTGGATATACGAATGTAACACGTTCCACTGTGGAATTGACCATTATCTATTGAATTTCAAAAGTTTACTATAGCCGGAAACAAACAAAACTGACACGACAAAACATTATCAACAACAAAACTATTGGATGAAGAAGTGTGAGTTCTGAAGCAATATCAGCATATTTAGTTGAATTAACTCGGATAGAAAAATGTTTGATAATTCAGAAATTTCACTGTATAAAACCGTTATGTATATGTAGCTGGAGACGTAGGTCTTCTAACTGAACGACGATTTGACAAATCTTTAGATATCTTTTACCCCAAGAACATATAGGGTAGAAGACAGATTAAATCTTCCGATTGCAACCAAAAATAAAACATCAACTGCACAAATACTAAAAGCTAAAAACTAGAGAGCCATACATAAAAGCATATTTAGCAGTGTTTGAATTCTATTTTATTGAATCTATGTTCCCTTTAAAAACCGTTGAGACTATCGTATTCATATTTGTATCACACACACATGCTCCCGCGCGATATTCAATAAAGTGGTGTTATTGTTATAACTGAAATTGTTCACCTTGTACTCTTCATTGATATTCATCTTCATTCTCCTAAATGGCAAAAATAATAGTGTTAAAAATCCTGTACAAAACAAGGAGAAATGTGGAAGTATAACCATGGTATCAAAAATTGAGACAGTAACATCTGTGAATAATAAAGTGTAAACTGAAAAATAAAATAAAAGAACTGTTTATTCTACGTTATAACACCATGAATTAACCTATTTGAAACAAATAGACATATTTTCTTACAGAGAAAACCTTCGAAGAATATATTCTAAATTGAAAAATTTCTTAAACTTTGAAAAGAAATTCTGTATAAGTGCCCTGTTAGCCTGTAAAGCACCTATGTTCCAAAGGTTGAAAAACAATGATGAGAAATCCAACGAAATGGCAAGAAAGTTGCACTACACCCACATATATAAAAAGGTTTTGGAAGAGTAATGGGGAAATTATAAAAGGCTTTCCGTAACGACGCCACATTAAGTCGGTCATATGGGAGAGTGTTAAGGGTACTTAGGGTTAAAGATTGATAAATTTAACAAACCGAAAAGAGCTCATATTGAATATAGTGCCACATTTGAGCTTAAGCTGATAAGGAATATGAATTAGCTAATTATACTGTCTACATTTGAAAATTGGATGGAGCACTCCAGACAGTTATTGTTAAATCCAAGAAAGTGTACCAGCATTTATTGGTTGCTAAAAGTTTCCGGGTTCGATGTTACGAGTGATCAAATAATTCAAGGTACTGCATAAAAAATTCTATTACAATTGAAAAATTGTCGTACCAGTTTTTGTGCAGATAAAATGCAAAGTGATTTTAAATTGATTGATTTAAAAATCAGTTGATATTAAAATATAATGCATGTTACAATGAATGAACTATCAAAAGCTACACATTTTTAATTACATTGAAAAAGAAACACAATTGCTACATATTTGACTAGCTATGAGCAACAAATTAAGATTTTCCCCATTTGTTTACTTATGGACAGGTCTAATGGAACAAATTAACTTATGTCGTTTTAAATTACTATGTTTCAGCTAAGCGAATCAAATGCATGCAGATGTTGGAAAAATTATTTAAATTGAGTTTTATTGACCCTGTTCTTAAGATTGAGAATAATTCTCATGTCCATTCTGAGCTACTGATCTAATAGAATATGTTAGCACTTGGCTTTGATTTTTAACAATTGAACAATTGAAAGTTCAATTTTCTGAAAATGAAAATGTTAATGTATCATAAGGTCCGGACTTGTAACGGAATTTAGAAATAAATGCGATTTCCTTATTTTAAAAGTTTTGTGTCAATCAAGTTGAGTGCAACTTTTATATTTAGTTTTAAAACACGAATACAGCGTATGTATCGTTTAAATTCGTTTCAATTTTCACATAAAACCCGGTAAGGTCCGATAGATCATTAGCTAAGAACTTTGACTGGTTCAATTTGGATAAATGACTGAGTATTTAAAGAATCTGTTTCTATATAGTAAAACGGTAAATCTACTAAAATATACCTATAAATTGGTTTGAACTGTGTTAAAACTTTACTTACTTTGGCCATCGCACATGTGGGTAAATTGTTTGATTAAATAGACATCGCTGCCTGAGAACTCCTTGCCATAATTGAACACCAACAATTCCAAATATAAAGAAAACAAAAAAGCACAACAGGAGCACGTTGCCTAACATGGGCAATGTATCTAAGAGCAGCATCACAAGAATCCTCATACCTGAAAATAAAACCCTGAATTAATAAACCAGGCAATGTTATTTAAAGTTGAACTAAACTTTCCAAATAAGTCCTAATAGTTGCCTCATACCTTCACATTTCGCGAACGATATTTAGATTCGTTTTATCGGCAAACAAGCGGAAATTTTGATGGCAAAAATGATATATCCGCGTTCTTATCTATTTCGAGCAAGACGCCAAGGCATAAGTTAACTCCCTAATGTACATGTCGCTTAAGCCAAATTGCTGTGGTATGGATGGAAAAGCAAATGGAAAATTGGGTGCACTTGAATTTTACACCAATCGTGATACCTCACGTACAGGTGAAAAACATTTATTTCTGGAATGCCGAAAATAAATGAGTTCAAAACGTTCTAACATATCAAATGTGAACATTAAAAAAAGGAGAACACTGGGAAAGCGACTGGTAAATTTGTTATTTATGACCTCCATCTTTTAGACGGTCTTTAGTGAAAAGTATGTTGTGTAAAATAACAAAATAAATAAATAAAACTGGAATACGAAAAATGATTTCCTCTCATCTGCTGATTAATACAAAACCGTGGTGTTTTTCCACCCAATACTTGTAAAAGCAGCAAAGGTAAACTCTTGAAAACTGTATTTTTTTTTCAATAAAAAATGTATTAGTGTCAAATTATCTGTACCACCACATGATGATGCAACAGATGCAATAATTTTATATTTGTGAACTTTCAAGCAAAAACGGAATGAAATAATTTGCAATTAGCAATTATCTTCTATTTGATCTACTGCATTCAATTTTATTTTTGCTGCTAAGAAAGCTTACCAAGGGGATATAAAATTAATTTAAAGTTTAAAGCCTGCGTTAAATTGCAATTTCCATTTTAAACGGACACCTGTTAGGTGTAATCTAGTTCAAAGTATTTAAGCCAAGAGCATTGTTGTAAAGCTTAATCTCTTATGCAAGTAGATATTTGCAATTAAATACTGAGTGGCGAAATTATAGTTAAATAGTTTGCGAATGTGATGTTTGTACATGAGTGCAATTTGCATATATTTTAATTGTTTTCTGTAAACACTAGCATTTGGTTTGTATCTTAAGAAGATTTGTAAATTTACAGACAATTACCTGTAGAATTGTTTAAAATCTTTCGCCAGGGTCAAATGTTTATCAATAATATGTTTGCTGCATACTTCCAATACATTAAATTTTTCAGCTTTAGTACGAAGCCGAAACAGAAGAAATAACCCTTTGAATATCGGAACCAACTGGTAGTCTACAGTCAATCTACATACATTTCAACAGAATTCTTCTATCAAATCTACGTATGGATGAATTTAATTCGAAATGTGAAATTATTTAATAGTAGGTATATAAGTGTGTATACTAAAACATTGGTTTTTAATTGACCACGTGAAATCGGCATTTCACTTTTTTCTGAGCTCAAGTCCTCAAACTTACTGTTCCACAGGTAAATTTAACATGAATTCGGAAACCAATTTTTATCTTTCAGATTATTATGATTTGCGGCTTTTGATTCAAACCGGGTTCAAGCGCAAAACGTGTTATGGTTTATGCACTGGTCTACGTACCGAAACTTCACAAAATCGTCTTAACAATATACTTTTTTCCAAGTTAGTTCCAAGTAATTTCAATATCCTTAATTAAAAAAAGCATTAATCTTGTGCTTAAGAAAACACCAACTTATACAGGAGATTTGTGTTTATCTCAACAATCTTCTGGACTGCAAATAAAAATTTAATTCCTCATTTGAAAGGTTTTCGATAATCAAAAATTTCATTAATATGTACTTAGCCATGTACTTTGAAGCACATTTATATTTGGGTCATTTTTTAGTCCAGAAAAACCCATGCAATATATCAAACATTTGATATTACACCCAGTAGATTTTCTAATTGAAAATGATCCCAAAATAAGTTTTGTTTAGTGGCAAATGATTAGTATATGGAAAAAAACTTTCCAAAGCTGAAGAATCAGTGTAATGAAAAGTAGACACGTAGATATATTAGTATATATTAAGGGACATTATAATTTGGAGTAATTTTTCTACTTTTTGTATATATTTTTTTGAACACTGTGGCTTTCATAACAGGATGTATCTTAAAACAGCGACAAAGGCGTAGTACAACAATGTTGCATTGTGTTCTGGTCGTGTGTACGTTTTGTGAATATCATGTTAAAACAATCAGAAATAACAAAGAGTCGTTGTTGACTTGAATTAAAGCATTGGAAAATGCGAAGCGTATCCTAATAAGCTGGCAGAGCCTGGCTATATCACGAGAACCTCATTTAGCATCCGCGACGGCGACGAAAGGGCTCTTTTGCCACTTTCCAGCTCCAGATAAAACTTTTAGTCTAAAACACGAAAAGCAGCACGAATGTGATGTAGGTGACGCATTAACAAAATTCTCAACAGTTTGTAACACGAAGGGTGTAATATATTTTCCTGACACAGTTAAAATGCATTTTCTTTTTCTTTCGGGCAAGAAACTTTTGATAGAAAAGAATAAAGAAACATTAAGAGTAAATTAAGTATGAACTAAGAAGGTAATGCTCTTGAGTAGTTCACCAGAGCGAGCGATTCCAACAATTGAACGTCGTATTTTAAGAAGACGAACGAAACTCACAATTGCAAAGAAAAATTATTGCCGCACATTAGCCAAGTCGGAACTAAAAATGTTTTGTTCACAGTCGGGCAATCAGAACAAAGTCTCAATTCCCAATACAGTTGGCTGCAAAGCATCCCTGGCCGGTATCTCATTTAAATACCTACAACAACATAGAAAAAATGAAAACGATTTTTTTTGCATATAAGATAAAAGCCAATTCGCATTATTTATGCGTTGATTTTTGTTTGAAACCGCTAAATATAAATGCAAATTAAAATACGTTGAAGCGTGTTAAAAACCATTGAGTGCAAGAAACTTATTTCAGAAATTTTAGCGTGTCGCCTGATTTTCTACAAACTGTGTTGGTATTATATAGTCGTATGCATTCTACAAAGAACCAATGTTACAACTAAAACGGAAAATACAGAAATAATTCCAACGCTTTACAAGAATTCTTTTGA